AGCACAATACCTGTATTCAAATGTGTGTGTGTGTGTGTGTGTGCTTGTGCGCACTGTATCGATTGTTCGAGTGGCGCGTAGTTGCGCGCTTTTGGTGTCAAGGCCCCTGAGGATGGATTGGTGGAGACGATCGTGGCGAGAGCCGGGCGCCGACACTCGGATAGCTCGACGCAGACAGACTCGCAGAGAGACGGACAGACGAGGAGAATGCAACCAATGTCGGATTGGCGTCATTGTGGCTAGAGTTAAGGCGGCGGAATCTAAACTGAGGGCAATTATACGTGGACAGAGAGCTGGATACGGGTGGATGGATGGACAAATAGAATAGAAGTTGGCATGGCCACCATCTCTGGGTCGCTTGGCCTCTGTGCCTTTACCTTCAAGTCTGTGGATAGGCCTGGCTTCACACGGCCAGACAGGCGCAACAGGTTTAACTACCAGCAGGCATAAAGACACAAAAGCTCACACACATACACACACATACACACACAACAACGATAACGACAGGATGTCAAGACGCTCGGCGATCTTCATTCGAGAGGCAACTTGGCCGAGCTCCCTCTTTCGTCTGCCACTGAGTCGATCAGTGAGTAAAACGCACGAATGTGCACGTTGACGTGCTGGCTTGCGGCCTCGCAGGTTCGCACAGGTGAGCACTTGACGCAATGACAGACATACAACCGTAGGCACGGATGGAACAGGCCCCTGAGTCAACCTGGCGCGCTGATGGGGCTCATAGTTGCGTTCACAGATTGCAGTCAAGTTCATTTGGGTTTATTGGCTTAACTCGCCCTCGCCCTCGCCCTCGCCTCTCAATCACCATCACCGATGGACCTCGAACCTTGGGCCTTAGCGTCGTGGCGTTGGTTGCATCCCAAGCGTGAGTTATCTCCGGATCCTTGGCTTGCTGTAGCCCCCTGGCGATTGGGGCGGCGAGCCGGAGCTCGAGTGTTGCAGCTGAATGCACGCAACCAGGTTTCCAATCCGGTTGGGCGAATAAGTTCAACACTGCCGTCCAGGTGGAAGAA